ATGACCAGGTAGAGTTCCAGGAGACAGGGGGAAAGTTTGCAAGGTCTCTTTTGAGGCCTAGGCCTGGAACTGGCCAAAGAAAGTTATAAGACCTGCCCAGATTCAAGGAGCAGAGAAAAAGATTTCCCTTTGTGATGAGGTGTGGATATAAGAAATAAGTAAGTACAGCCATTTTTGCAATTTAGCACCAACCCTATTCCAGACCACCCCAGTGTCTTATCAGCTGGCTTTCTAGCTGGTCTTGCAAACTCACTGTAGTTCCTCCCACCCCACTTGTCATCTATATACAGTTTCCCAAGTGTTATGGTCTCTTCACCACTAGGTCTTTACACATGCTGTTCCCTGTGCCTGGTACTGTCTCCTGCCTTACCTTCCCAAACTTCCAGCCTGGATTGTCTCCCCACTCTGTTCCCATAGTGGCCAGTACTATCACCACCATTGCCATAAGGGGCCTCTGTTGGTTTTACCTCCCCAGCGTATTTTCCCCTTTCTTTGGGGGACAGTCCCCCAATTTTCCCTTGGGAGGCCTTCCACATCAGTCCATACGGTTCAAAGGAGGCTGATTAAAACACCTAAGATGCAGAGTCCAATATGTGACCAGGCCTGGTCAATCAAAATTATAGTGATTGGTTCAGGGATAGTCATATGACCCCATTCAGGCCAATGAGAGTCAGCCTCAAGACTGTTTTTGGAACAATTGAGAAAGAGGTACCATCTTTTGATTCAAGTTGCCAAACTAGTAGAGGGTAAGCCTAGAATCACTGGGGCTATCTTTGCCACCATGAGATGAGACCTTGTCTGAAAAATGAAGCCACACATACCCCAGAGAATAAGAGAAACACATTTCATGCAATATGGTTTGAGAAGCTGGATCCAGCCATGCCTAAAGCCATACATTCCTAAATTTTTTTATTATATGAACCAATAAATTCCTCTTATTAAACTAATTTGACTTGTGTTCTTATCTCTTCAATTAAGAGTCTTAACAAATATAATTATATGTGGTAATATAATTACCTATCTATTCTTGGCTTTTCTATTGGGCATTCTCCCTAGAAGTTGAGTGGATTTCTGGTTCATCATCTTTGTGTCCCTGGACCCCAGCACAGAGCCTGGGACATAGTAGGGATTTAATACATGCCTATTGAACAGGGATTGAGACCACTGTAGCCCTGAGTCTGCCTCTAGTTTGTGACCTTGAGCATCCATTTCTCCTTCTGAGCTTTGTTTCCAACTCTGAATATGGAAATACCCTGTCTCGTTGAGGGCTATAACGAGGACCAGGTGAGCACAGGCTTCTTAAAGTACTTGACAAACTCTAAAGCTCTGTATACATGCAAGCTATAATTCTATTTTCAACGATGTACATTTTGTCCTAATTTCACCAGCCCCCAATAAATTCTAAGTTCTTGGGGATGCAAAACAGCCAGTACATTGGAAGAGCAAAAGGAAAATCTGAGAAACTCAATCTCAAGCACCCTTAGAGCTGTCTCCATGCAACATAGACTTGTTGCACCTGCAAATAAAATAAGGAAGATGGGCGCCTGGTGCCCAGCACCTCCCTCCCTCCCACTACCTGCAGAAATCAGAGGATGCTAGACAAGAGGTCCCAGTATCTCTCTAATTTGAGTCATTGCAAGTGACATGATAATGGGGCAGAGTCTGGCTGGTTCTCTCTAAACTGCTTCCTCTTTCCTCCTGAGCACCCAGAAAAAAACCACATCTCCCAGCCAGGTGACTAAGGTCTGGCTGTGGGATGTGACTCTAGACCTGAATCCTTACAGTCTTCCAGACTCGATCTCTGCCTTCATCTTCTGGTCACATGCAGAGGATCCAACAGAAGACTCTAAGGCTCTAGAACATGATTCCTAACTTTTCTGTATGAACCTAGGACCCCTTGAGCAGCTGGTAAAGTCTATGCTATCCTTCTCAGCTAATACTTTTACATGCATAAAATAAAAAACATGGAATTAAAATTATCAAAATGTAAAAACTATGCGATATAGTGCTTCCTTATTAACACTGAAACAATAAGATCTAGTCTAATTACCATAATTTCAATGTTGTGATAGTATAAACAGTATTTCAAGCTATCTGCAATAACGTCAATGTGATATGAAAATATCTATGATTTCTATTGACAACAAATAAGTACTGCTAATACCACTTTGTTGTCTATATTCATAATGGAAATAAATGTTAAATGTCAGAAGTTAGTGTAAATAAAGGTGCAATTATTTTCTCTTTCAAGTTCATTAATTTCTGAATTCCATCCATAGATCCCTTGGGGGTCTGTTGTCTCCTGGAAAGGAATCTCAGCTTTAGTGCATAGAGGATCACAAGAAAGGAACCTGGGTCCCTGGATGACCACATGGAACAGAGATCCCTCCAACACATAATCACCCCTGGAGGAAAAGACTTGTTTCTTCCCAGAGCATTGAGATGCTGGGACCAGGCCTCAGCCCAGCTGGGTGACCCTGAGCAAGTCACCTAATCTTTGGCACCTCTATATCCTCACAGACTACGTTCCCTGCTGTGGTCTGAATGTTCATGTCCCTGCAAAATTCATATGTTGAAACATAATCCCCAAGGTGATGGTATTAAAAGATGGGGCCTTTTTGTGGAGGCGGGGAATGAGATTAGTGCCCTTATAAAAGAGGCCTGAGGGAGCTTGTTAGCCCTTTGCCCTTTGTCTACGTGAGGATACATAGAAGGTGACCTCCAGGAGAAACGGGCACTCACCAGTTACTGAATCTGTTGGAAGCTTGATTTTGGACTTCCCAGCCTCCAGAGCTGTGAGAAATAAATTTCTGTTGCTTATAAATTACCCAGCCTAAGGTACTTTTGTTATAGTCGCCTGAATAGACTAGGCCAATCCCCCTTTTGTAGGACCATCATGAGAGATAATAGCTCTGAATGCTTATACACTTTATGGTAATTTATACCTGGAGTCTCCAAACATGGGCCAGTAAACTGTACTAAAAATAAGGGCAACCTAGTGAATTATCTTCAGTTAAATGGATTTCGTCTGAAGGACTGTCCTTTACTCTGAGATTATGACCTTCCTAATTCCAGGGGTTATAAAGTTCATTCTTTTATAAAATGAAGGTGATTAGAAACAGCACTTGTAAGAACATTTTTTCCCAATGTTCTTACTTTGCAACGGAGTTGGCATTCTTATTTAGATTCATAAATATTTTGAAGTATTGGCTGGGCATGGTGGCTCATGCCTGTAATCCCAGCACTTTGGGAGGCTGAGGCAGGCAGATCACTTGAGGCCAGGAGTTGGAGACTAGCCTGGTCAACACGGTGAAACCTGACTCTACTAAAAATACAAAAAAATTAGCCAGGTGTGGTGGCAGGCACCTGTAATCCCAGCACTTTGGGAGGCTGAGGCATGAGATCACTTGAGCCTGGGAGGTAGAGGTGGTTACAGTGAGCTGAGATCGTGTACTGCACTCCAGCCTGGGTGACAGAGCAAGACCCTGTCTCAAAAAAAATTTTTTTTCGAAGTATTATGTAAATCCAAAAGTATGAGAATCATTGCTTTCTCTCACCCCCAAAAAAATATTCATTTGTATTATCACTCAAAAGTAATAAAGCTTAGAGAGGATTTGGTTTCTGACCTGCCACAAGTTTGAATAATAGTAAGAGTTAAGATGTATTGAAGATTTCAGTGTGCCCAAGCTGATCTAAATATTTCACATGTGTAACTGGTTTATTGACTGTAACTGTCTCATTGATGGCTGTAATGAGGACCAGATGAGCACAGGCTTATTAAAGTTCTTGACAAACTCTAAAGCTCTGTATACATGCAAGCTATAATTCTATTTTCAACGATGTACATTTTGTCCTCATTTCACCAGCCCCCAATAAACTGTAAGTTCCCTCATCTGAACGTGATGAGGGACCTACCTAAATGAATTTAGTTTTTCTTCAACCATTGCCTTCCAATACATTCAATGAAATCTTTCCTTTCTGCCCATGCCTTTCTGTCCAGTTTCAACATCAAATCAGAATCAAGCTTGACCCTTCACCTCAAGAATGTTTGTTATTTAATGGTTAAGTAGCCTAACTATGTGCACCTTACAAGGCTATGAGGTAGGTATTATTATTAATGGTATCTCACATCCACTAAGGCCCAGACAGGTGAGGTAACTTTTCCAAGATCACACAGCTAGTAGTAAGTTTTGGACACAGGATTCAAATACAAGCTGTCTGGTTCCAGAAATTTGCCCTTAACATTTATTAATAATCTTCTGCTTTATTTAGGCTGAGGGGCCTTTTCAGAGAAGGAAAGCTGGAATAATGTCCTGAAGAAAGTCCTGAAGGGGCTGGGCACAGTGGTTCATGCCTGTAATTCCAGCACTTTGGGAGGCTGAGGTGGTTGGATCGCTTGAACTTAGGAGTTTGAGACCAGCCTGGGCAACATGGCAAAACCCTGTCTCTACAAAAATACAAAAATTAGCTAGGAGCAGTGGTGCGTGCCTGTAGTCCCAGCTACTTAGGAGGCTGAGGTGGGAGGATAGCTTGGGTCCAGGAGGCAGAGGGTGCAGTGAGCCGAGACTGCACAACTGCACTCCAGCCTGGGTGACAGAGTGAGACCCTGTGTCCAAAAGAGAGAGAGAGAGAGAGAGAGAGAGGGAGAGAGAGAGAGAGAGAG